GCCCCCCGATGCGGCGCTGGTCAGGCGTCCAGTTTGTGCGCCGCACTTCAGGAGGGACGCGGACAGCCTCGAGCGGGACCGGAGGACACCGTGTGTACGGTCGGGGCCTGTGGGCGTGGGGAGACCGAGGGACCGTCCGCAAGACGAGGCTGAGGGGGATCTTGTGGGGGAGCAGGGGATGGGAGATGATTGATTTACCAGGGCACCCCCGGAGTAACTACGAACAACAGCCACAGATTGGCGGAGAGCGGATTTAGGTTGGACATTAGAGATGATTTCTTGACGGCGAGGGCTGCCAGGATCTGGAACGGGCTGCGCAGGAGGTGGTGCCGTCCCCGCCCCGGGGGTCTTCAAGAGGAGACCGGGCAAGCACGTGGCTGGGGCCGTCTGACCCTAGCGCTCTTTCCTGCCCGGGCAGGGGGTCGGACCCGACGATCTGCTGAGGCCCTTCTGACCCGAGCGTCTCATGGACATTCGGGCTGGAAGGGACCTCGGAAGATCATCGAGTCCAGCCCCCGCCCCAGGGCAGGGCGTCAGCTGGGGTCATAGGATCCCAGCAAGATAAACATCCAAATGCTTGCGCCACCTCCTGCGGCCGTCTGTTCCAGACCTCGGGGGCTCGGACAGTAACGTTCTTCCTTATGTCCAGCCTGAAACCGTCCTGGAGGAGTTCGTGACCGTTGATCCTTGTCATCCCTTGGGGCGCTCTGGTCAACAGACGTTCCTCCAGATCCTGGTGAGCACCCCGATAAACTTATAGGCAGCCACAAGATCGCCCCTGAGCCTGCGCTTTTCCAGGCTAAAGAGCCCCATAGCTCTCAGCCTCTCATCATAAGGTCTGTTCTCCTGACCTCTGATCAGGCGCGTGGCTCTTCTCTGGACTCTCTCAAGCTTCTCCGCATCCTTTTTGAATTGTGTAGTCCAAAACTGGACGCAGTACTCCAGCTACGGCCTCACCAGAGCAGAGTACAACGGGAGAATGACGTCCCGGGATTTGCTGGAGAAGCATCTGTGGATGCAAACAGCATTGCATCTATGTCTCTTGTGCTCTAAACTTGTATAAACAAAGCTATCTCAAGTGACGGGCTTTAAAGGCTTGGGGTTGCTTTGAAGCCGGTTTGTGTATCAGCCGAGACGCATGCAAGAGCCCTCTTGTTGTCTTGATATGTTCCCTGGATAGGGAATAATTTGCAGGAGCCGACACCCTCGAGAGCTGAAATGAAAAAGCACCGCCCTGTCCAAATAGTTTTGATTCACTCTTTTCACTTCTCTGTTGCAGATGAGTTGTTACACTTTCATTTTACGACATTGCACTGAATTCGATTGAACAATGGGGGAAAATAGTCCTGACGACAATGTTATCTGCTACGTAGTAGAGGATGACGAGTTGACTCAAGATGTTAAGATGATGAGGTTTGTGGATAAAAATGGACTGCTTCCTTCGTCATCTGGGACAGTCTATGACAGGACAACTGTTCTAATTGAGCAGGACCATGGCATATTGGAGGATGACGAGGATGAAGGACAGTGTGGAGATCATTTGTCTTTTTTACCAGAGGGTCACGAAGAAGGATTTCATCTAATAGCAGATCATGAAGGAATGTCCCAGGGTTATGTGCAACACATTATTTCTCCAGATCAGATTCATCTAACTATAAATCCTGGTTCAACTCCAATGCCAAGAAATATTGAAGGAGCTACTCTCACTTTGCAGTCGGAATGCCCAGAAACCAAGCTTAAAGAAGTAAGTAGCTGACTGTAGCGGTAGAGTGGTGCCCACCTCCAGTGCCTTCGATCTGGGGGATCCCAGAGCACTTGGGAAAGTTATTTGTGATGAAGTCGTGGGGGCAGAGCTACATGCTTCCCTCTGATGTTAAAGATAAATGTTGCAATTAAATCTCCTGAGCTGCTGGAGAAATCTCAACCAACGTTCTTAGCTACTAATCTACATGCCCTCAGAGCAGCCAGATATTCAAGGGGCCCAAAGTCCTGCTATGACTCATCGGCTGAGCGAGGGATGTAATGATCTGCTGTGATTCCAGTGGGTGGGTGCTCTGTGACTAGTTAGTGCTAGAAGGGTGATGCTGTGAAAGCTTAAGATCCAAGGCAGGAGTGCTTTAATTTGCTTCAGCCACTTGACGTTTGATCTTGCCTAGTCAGTCAACAACCCCCGAGTACAGAACCAAACAAAGCAAAACCTCCAGAGTCGATCTGAACTTCCTTTTCAGCCTGAGGTGTGTCCAGTTCTTAGGAAAACCTCTACATCCAAGCTGGTGCCAACTTCTAGGCCAGTTCACGTCTAGTAACTTTCCTAAAGTGTGAAACCTTTGTTGCACTAATTGGTTTGAAACAGCAACTGCTCATAGTAGGTGTGTCTGTACCTTTTTGCTGCTTAGAGCAACAAGGAGCAAGTGACATTCTGGAAGGCAACGACTGATGGTCTTGGTCTGTGCACAGACTTTGAATCAGTTCACTCACGTGAAACAGGGCTGGTTCTGATAACGGCACTATTTGCATAATGAATTTTAGCTGTGTGGAAATTGAAAGAGGTGTGGACAGATTTTCTTGACTCTTTTTTTCCTGCAAAAACAGTGAATTGTGGGGCGGGAGGTAGTTGGCTAACTCTGTAATACAACTTGTCAGTATTTTAGCCATCGGGCCTATGTTGCAATTTTCCCTGTGGATGCGCTACCACTGATGTACATGCTTCTCTTGAAGACAATGGAACAATTTGTGTAATTTGATTCTAACTCTGAGACGGGGTTGCAGAAAAAAGCCTTTAGTTAGCATGGACTCAAGGTTTGAGAGCCCTGAATAATTCAGGTGAGCAGGAGACCTTGCGTGTAGTTCAAGTGGCAAAGTAAAAGTGGGTCAGTAGTAGCAGCAGCCTCTGAGAGATGAGATGGGCAGAGGTCTGGCTCAGCCAGTCTGTCAGCTTAGGAGTCCAACAGAAAAATAGTTCCTTTCTCAGTTCTTATTCGTATCAGCTGCTGTGGCACCCTGGACTCTTCCCTGCTGCTTCATTGCCCGCACTGAATTCCAGCACGCCTGCCAATATTTTTATAGGACGTTCAATTTGCTCTATTCAGCTTCTTCAAACAGGATGTGCTTGCTAAATCACTGTGGAACATTTTCGGAATGGGTTAAATGTTACCTGAAAAGAAATATGGGGTTGTTCTATATTTTTTGAAGTGCTAACAAGGCTTGGAAAACTGTTAAGTAACTATAATAAAGCTGCAAATACATTATAAAGTCAGGTAGTGGCTGATTTGGCATTCCT